TGCGGAGCACGCCACACGTGCGGCCAAATGCTGTAAATTTTGTGGTTTGGTTCTGCCTAAAGCACGTGCAGGACCTCAAGGCCGCACGTGCGGGCCAACCTGCTGCACGTGCGGGGCTTACAGCCGCACGTGCGGCTCATGCTTGAAAAAATCTTGTTTGCTCCTTTACGTGTAGAATCCTCTTAATATTATCGAATATGTATTTGAGGCCTTTTTATAATGATACACCCTCGAAGGAATGGAAAACAGAAAGGAAAATGATAAGCAAAATGAACTGATGAGCAAGTTTTGAATGTGTGCAGGACACACCCTGGGAGGAAGTAACACGTCATCTCGACACTGTGAGTAGTAGTACTGTCGTAGTATGCTTTATTTATAGCTAATGGTCACCATGAACACTCTGTTAATTGCAGGTTAACTATGTTAACGCACACGAACGATGATGAGATAAATGTGTATGCTTCTGATTAATAGTTAATATTAATAGTCTATCCTCTGTAAGTGAACTATGTCGTGCTTAATGAATAAAAAGGAGCTTAGGATCATTCTTGAACAACGATTTCGATGTGAACATTGAAAGATTTTGGCGTACATCGGTACGACTCTGAACCTACCTTGCATTTTGGTTAAGGTCCATGATTATCGTTAATGTATCAACTTGTAAGTTACCTATGATTTCGTATAAGAATTGCATACACACTCTTAACACTGTGAAGTTGGTTGTTCTGACCTATTAATGTAATGGTATCTTTGTCTTCGGATCATCGTTAGAATGAACGTTCTGCTAATTGCAAGACAAGTATGTCAATTTGCAATGAACCATGAGGAAATCTAAACGCATCATTAGGTCATACGTTGTTTACTGTTAATAGTTAATGTTAACATTCTGTTATCTGCGAGTTAGCAGTATTGGTTCATGACAAGAAAATGGAATGTAGGTACACTATGGTATAATGGTAATCTTAGGAACTGAGAATGCCCTGTTTCTATTTATCCGTTCTGTTTCTACTATGTTATGACATGATATGAGTGATTCAGGGAAACAGTGTGAAGCTATGGAAACATCAAAAGAATTTGTGAAGTTATGAATCTATGTGAATGTGTGAATGTGTGAACCCATCAGGCCAAGGGCCACTCTGTGAATGTGTGAACCTATCGAGTATGGAACAAAGTGCTGTACGGAACTAAGTGCTGCCATGCGAGTCACCTCTAGAATCCGTACGAGCCACCTCTTGAGTCCATCATACATATGTGAACTAGGCTTAAAGCCGATGTGAAAGTCATGAGGCCCATGGCCGTTCTATGAAAGTTGTGAAGCTTATAGCTGTTTTGTAACATTTGTGAGGCCTATGGCCAATTTGTGATATCCGGGCCTATGGCCATTCTGTATGATCCGTTAGTATGAAACAAAGTGCTGCACGGAACTAAGTGCTGCCATGCGAGTCACCTCTAGAATCCGTGCGAGCCACCTCATGAGTTCATACATACATGATAAGGGCTTTATGCCATTCTGATAAGGGCTTTATGCCATTCTGTTAAGGGCTTTACGCCATTTTGTTAAGGGCTTTATGCCATTCTGATAAGGGCTTTATGCCACTCTGTTCAAGGGCTTGAAACCATTCTGTTTAAAGTTTAGGCCTAAGGCCACACTGGAAATAATTACAGGATATGTTAACTATATGCTCTCTGCACTTATACATGTCCATTGCCATTCACGTTAAATGTTAAATTGTTTATGTATTACTATTCACTGAGCTTGGCTCACTTTATGCTATGTCTGTTTCTGTAAGCGCACCACCTGGAGGTCAGTCTTAACTCATGGCTTCCATTCCTCCTTGGTCAACCTCAGAGTGTCCAGGCACCAAAATGAAGGTAGCTCATTTTACAGAGTTTTGTTAAGCTTTTAGTTTTGTACCCTGATGGTCTGTTTAAGGTTAAAGTGTATATAATTCTTTTACCCTCCAATGTTTCTGTTATACACCAATCTTGAGGGCTGGGTCTGTATATGTATGTGTACATAGCTAAATTCTTCGAGG